TATAAACAAAACAAACAAACAAACAAACAAATAAATAAAACATGCCTCTATAAAAAAAAAAAAGTCATAACTGTTCTAAAAGAAAAAAGACTTAAAAAGTCTACCAATTAAATACATATTTTGATTTATCTAGGTCCAAAAGATTAAGTGATTCACCCAAGGTCAAACAGTTGTGGAAGAGGGAAGATTTGAACCCAGCGGGGCTAACCTTAAAGCCCGGGCCTGTGGCACCCGTCTCAGAGGGCTATGGCAGTCACTGCATCTATGTAACTGCAAATTACATAGCAAAGGACTAAGTTCAATATTTTTGGTTGGTACCAGGGAAACAGCCACAGAGTGGGCGAAGAACTTAGGGGAGGAAAAGGAAACCCCCAAGGAGCACAGGGCTGAGGCGGGCAGAGCCCTGATGTGATCCAGGGAAGGAGGCAGAACAAGCATGAGAGGAGGAAACCGCTCCCCTCTTCTTGGCGTGGCTGCCCCCACTGGGGCCTCAGCCCTGGCTCACTCCCGAGGCAGAGAGGCTGAGCTCAGCCACCAGCAGGCTGGGTGACCTGTCCAGGCCTCTGGCCTCGGCTTTCCTTTCTGTATCACAGAGGGCTTGAACAGCACTATACGCTCTTCATGGAGACTCTGTCTCTAAAACCCTTTAGCTGCCTGCTCCCTCCTCGACCCCAGGAGTAAAGCAGAGAGGGCCAAACAAGAAGGAAGGAAAGCAAAGCCCCCAGTCCTCTGGTCTGAAGTGAGAGGCCCCTCCATTCCCAGGACTACTGGCTGGAGCCTGAATCTGTAGACCAGAGCAGTTAAAATCAGGACAAAAGCTGTGGGATGGCCTGTGGTCAGGTCAGAGGCCTGGTCATCTTGATGCCCCTGCCCAGGCACCTCTACCACCTTTGACAGTGACCAAGGTATAGGTTGTCAGGCCTAGATAACTCACAGCGATGACTCCAGACCTCACTTAGGAGAAAACCCAAGCAAGGCATCAAAGGCACAGGGCCCTGGTGACTGCTGTTTATGATGCTCAGCGAACATGACCATGGCGCCAGTGCAGGGCCTCCCTGTGGGCTTTCTTACTGCCCTGCCCATCCGCTGCTCTCAGTGCAGATGTGCCTGTCAAGCACCTTATTTCTGAGGTCCCTTTACCCCTCCTCCAGAACCCACAGGGTCCGGGTGTCTCCTGGGGCCTAGAACTCCTATGTTTCCTGGGGTCCTATATGGTTACTGCGTGGCCACCACCAGAGAGGGTGGATATAAGTGGGATTCAGCAATAAGGGAGGATTTGTAGCACAACAGGTGGACAGAAGGAGGCTCTAGACTAGGGGCCAGCAAGGAAGGAGTGGGCAGGGCCTCTCCCAGGGCCAAGGGCATTCCCAGGCTCTGGTCAGCAAATGAAGCCTCCTGTGGATTCCACCAGGCAGGGTGGCAGGATCTGGTGTCCACAGAGCCTCCCCATCCTCTGGGCCCCAGGGGCACCAGGACAGGCCCCCATGTGCCCCTGCCCCTCTTCACCCCAAGCTGGTCTATCTCCCAAAGCAAACAACCAAACCCAAACCAACCAAGACTGGCCTCTGGACAGTGCTCAGGTTTACCAACCCCTTTCCCTTTAGCCCGTCAGATGGCTTAACCTGGAGCTCTGGGCTGCCATCATCTCACTGCATGGCCATGTGGGAGTCCCACTCCACTTCCCTGGGCCTCAGAGAAAGGCCTAGATTCTAATGAAATCAGCAAAGAAGGTAGCCAGGCCTGGGGCAGGAAGGAAGCCTGGAGCTGAAGCAGCTACCAGCTGGAAGAAGCCGGAGGAGGAGGTGGCAGGAGGGAGGCCTTGGAGGAAAAAGGACAAAGGTGGGCCAGCATCCCCAGGAGCCCATCACTGACTCATTATTTGGGGAAAAGCTAGTCAGTGGCAGGGGCTCAGCAAGAACCCTCAAAGAATCAATCGCACCATAATTAGGGTCATTATTAATCTCTTTCCACAGTAATGCCAGGCTCCTGTTTACCCAACACTGGTGTCCCAAGAGAACTCTGATGCCTTTGCTCTAGTGAAATCTCCCAGCAGGCACACTCCACCCGCTTCACCACTGAGCCTCACCGCTGCCTCTGGTGGGAAGTGCTCTCTGCTTTGCCTGTAGGAGGGGCCGGCTCCCTCCGACTGCACCTCTGGGGCCATCAGCCCCAACTGAAGGCTCACTAACTAAATGTAAAGACGCCTCCACCGTGGGCCAGGAATGCTGGAAGCTGAGAGAGTGTCCCAGAGAAGGCAAGGTGGATCTTCCCTTCAAGGAGACGATCTTATCGCAGCAAGGGCGGCTCCGCTGTGACCGCAAGAGCAGTGCTTTAGGCTTTACAAAGAGCCTCCAGGCACATCAGCTCACTGAGGCATCACAGCAGCCCCACAGGGAGGGGCCAGATCCTCAAGTTACAGGTGAGGAGACTGAAGCTGGTGGAGCGCAGGAAAGGTATGCTGAGCTGAACCCTCGGTGAAGGCCCTTAGGAACAGGCCCTCATATTTGGGACATGTGTGGGGCCACGGGCTGGACAGGAGGCAGGCTTGGGACCTTGCCCAGGGGCTTGGCACAGAAAGGACCTCCCTGAATCTCTCTTTTCTGGGTCACAGGTACAGGTCTGGTTAGTCAACTTGGGCTGAGTAACCAGGGATGACCAGGCCTTGCCCGGAGAGCAGAGCTTGGTATCCCAGACCTCAAAATCTCTGCTGCAAACTCTCCAAACCTGAGTTTTAGAATCACCTCACCCAGGGTAATCCAGAATTACCCTGGATTTTGGACTGTTAAAGTCACCCAGTGTCAGTGTCAAGACAGACCTGGACTCACTGCATCCAGACCCCTTCCCATGCAGTCATCCCGCCGGCTGTGCACAGTTTCTAGCGGTGGCTCCCCAGCAGGGCGGCCTGCTCAGCTTGCATCCCGGGAACGGCCCCTCCCTCCCTGCAGGGCTCAGGGTTTGCACTAGAAGCTAGAACCCTGGGATGGCCTTCCAGAGAGGAACCACCTGCCTGCCCCCACCACCTGCTCTCCCATGGGCACTGACAAGTTGTCCCTAAAGCTGCTGCTCCCTAAAGCAGAGTAAGCAAGTGTCCCCTGAGCCTCCGGCTGGGCCTCATGGGCCGGCCCAGGACCTGGTGAGCAAGGCTGCCGCCCAACCCCTCCCAGGAGCTGGTGATTCAGTCACAGGGCCCAGGCTGACTTTTTCCAATGCCTCTCCCCAGGTCCAGGGTGGCAGGAGCAGGGGGTGGGGGTGGGGGAGGGCACCTGAATGGGAGGAGAAGGAGGAAGCTGAGTCTGGCAGAGACTTGTGCTGAGCAAACTTGTCTCTGCCCAGTTTTTGCACCCTGGGGGAATGGAAAGCAAGGATTTATTTTATTTATTTATGTAAAACAGCAGAGTTATTATACAAACAGGCTTCCCAAGCAGGCCCGGGGGATGGGAAGAGGAGGAAGTCCTGCCATTTAAGGAATCTTCCTCTGGCTTCCTTCCACTCACAACCTACCTGTCTGGCCTCCCCTCCTCTTCTCAAGCTGCTCCCAGCACAGCACCCCACCCAGCCTTTCCATCTCCATGCCTGTGCTCACGCTGGATCCTCGGGCAGGAAACCCCACCATGGCTCACACATCCCCATCCAAATTCCATCCATCTTAACAGATGGACCCTGTGCGATACCTGGTTCGATGCCCCCACAGGCTCACTGCCTCCTTCTTTTATGCTCACATCAGCTGGCAGAGACCGAGAGACGTGATCACAGGCCTCTGTGGATGATAATCACCCGCTTCAACGGCTGCCTTGCCCACCAGGCTGAGAGCTTCCCCATGCGGAGACTTCTGATCCACTTGGGCAAGCATTTCTGAAGACCACAGTGTCTGTGACCCTGTACCAGTCATGGGGAACACGAGATTCCCCAGGCCTGTCCTGCTAGAGCAGTCATCAAGCAGGGCTCCACGCCTCTGTTACCCAGGAGGCACCACTTGGAAGTCAGGAAAGCTAGTTAAATGTGCAGAGCAAGGAAAGAAGTAACCTGTGAGAGCTTCTCAAACCACACAACTGCAGAGCCACTTCTGAGCTGGTCCCCATTCTGCTGGTGAATAATATTTAGCTTTCTCCCAAATTACAAAAAACGTCAAGTTACTAAAAGTGTCTCAGCTGTTTCCTCCTCCAATTTTTTCTTAGACGTTTGTATCTGTTTGCACATTTCTGTTCCTGTCTGGTCTAAGGTGAGCTCAGATTTAGCACAGCACACTGGTTTCATCCCTGTCGTTTCAACTCTTCCTCATCATGTGAGCTCCTCTACTTGCAGGCAAGGCTGAAACCCTGGGGCCTACACTTCCCTTCCCCTCTTTCAAATCTCCACGTTTCCTTTCTGTGACCAAAGAAAACTGGCGTCACTCAAAAGCTGTGGAAGAAAGTCCCAGGAGTTGGCTGGGATTCCATGATTCAAAGCCTCCAATTCCACCATTTACCATTCATTCCTTTGGCTTAAGCTTCACTTTCTCTAGGATTTTCTCTTAAAGTACAAATCTTCCCTGGAAATGGAGCCCATTAAATTCCCAAATTGGAGGTCAAGGAAACTTAGTTTAATACTTGGCTCTGGGGAGGCAGTAAATCACTGAGGTTGAGAATGTGCACTCAGAGTCAGCTGGCCTGGGTCTAAAGCCCAGTGGCTTCCTTAATGCTTCTGTACCTCCTTATCTATAAAGTGGGGATAATAATAGCTCCAACTTCACATTGTGAGGATGAAATGAGCTAATGTATACACAGTACCTAATTAAGTACCTGGCACATTGTACTAAAAAAGACAGCTCTGCTCAGAGCTTCAGGATTATTTTTTTCCTTGACCATAACATGGGACAGTAGTCCCTGGACCCCCTGCCTTGTTTTGCTAACTGTAGAGTGCCCTCTCATTGGGAGAGGCGGACATTGTTTTAGAACCAGTGAGCTGCTCTCTGCAACTTATCCCCAACTCCCTTCTCCCTCCCTGCTATCTTCTTTCTTTACCTGGAAGAAGGTACCTGTGGCTGTGAGCTTGCTCCAGGGGATGTCCCGTCCACGAGGTGGTGATGTCACTTCACCGGGATAGCTGAAGGGACAAGGGGACAAACCCAGTCAGATCACTCATCAGTCTAGTCTGCCTCTCCCCTCCACTGGACCCTTAGTGAGAGCCCACCTCTGCTAGCTCACAGCCACCTCGTCCCTGTCCTGGAGGAGCCACCATGCCGGTGTGTGAGCCAAGGAGACATGGGATCCAGTCTTGGGCCCTGAGACCCCACACATGTCATCCCATTCCCAGCTGTGCTGCCCACATACCAGCCTCAACCCCAAACCCAGTAAACCTGCTCCCCTCAGGACCCACAGAAATGGGATCCAAGATCCAGCCACCCTGGGATGAAACCAGGAGCTGCCCTTTCCTGCAGCCCAGAACCCTGCTTCACTGGTGGCAGCAGCCAAACCAGCTGTTCTTCTAAAGCAGCCACTGAGGGAGGGCCTGGGGGCTGGAGGTGGGATCTGGGGCATAGCAATTACGTGGCTGACTTCTGACTCATGCACTACCTCCCCCATCACCAGCTCCTGGCCTGCAAGGCAGCCCTCCTGCCCCGTAGATGGCAGGACAGGCTATGGGGAGGAAAAGGAAGGGGCTCGAGGTCAGCCCTGCAGGTTTCAGAGGTTGATCCCCCTCCACTGGGGCCCACTTAAGTCACTTAAGTCACATCAGCTGGCAGAGACTGAGGAAGAGCCAAGGGCTAGGCCCCAGGGCTTCTGGTGCCCTGAGACCCAGGGCAATGATACATCAGGCCTGTCCCCAACCCAAGTCTGTGTCAACGTGAGAACTCTCTCCCTACCCAAACGAACCCTGGAGCCACATGCCAGCAAGAAGCACACATCCAAGACTCAGTCTTGGCCTGGAGAGGGACACAGCTGGGCTCAGAGACAGCTTGAAAAAGATATCCTGCTACTGAGAGAAGTGGGCCCCTGGCGTACCCTCAACCCTGCTTCCCTCCACCTCCAGTTGCCCGTTTTCCATAGCGCCCTGAATGCATTTCACTTTATAGTTTACAAATACACATATTCCTTGTATCTCCCATAATGATCTTAAGGCCTAAGTGACAGAGGGAATAATATAAATAGAGCAGAGTTTCTCCAACTTCAATGTGCAAAGAAATCACCTGGAGATTCTGTTAAAATGCAGTCCGACCGGCTGGGACCTGAGATTCTGCATTTGACAAGCTCCTAGGCGAAGTTGATGCTGCAGGTCCAGGGACCAAGAGGTGGGTAGCAGCATGGCCATCGAGGTCACAACAGCTCAAGTTACCAATACGGACTCTTACTCTGTGACCTTGGGCAAGTTCCTTAACCCCTCTGTGCTTCAATCTTACGTACAAAACAACAGCAGCAGCAGCAACAACAGTAATAAAACCTATACCATAGGGTTGATTTGAGGGTTCAATTGTGTAAAACATTTAGAGTGACTACTATTATTTCAACTTTTTTTTTTTTTTTTTAAAGATTTATTTATTTATTTATTCATTCATTCTTTTTTTTTTATTCATTTATTTAATTATACAAGCACTGGGTACAGTCAGAAGCGCGGGAGGGTGAGAGAATTCTCCAGAGCCAGAGCGGGGAGCAGAGCAGGCAGAAGAACCGAAGCACACTGCTGAGGGGAGCAGCGGGCGGCAGGAGAGGTCTGCCACCATGTGGGACCCTCCTCCGGTGGCCGGGGAGCAGCTGGGGATCGAACCGGCACTGCAGAGGCTGCGGGCAGCTTCGCAACCCAGCGCTCAACCGCTGCGCCACCGGGGAGGCCCTATTATTTCAACTTTTTAAATGAAGGCTTTGAGAGGTGGACACAACTGGCAAGGTGCAGAGCCAGAATTCAAACCCAAATCTCTTCATGGAAATTCTGCAACACCAAGCTGCCACAAAATGTCACAGTCAGCAAGCCTTCCCTAGTTAGAAAAGCATGAATATATTGAGCTCGGAACTGACAAGGGGCACGGAACAAGGTCACCAGAAAGTTGTCAGAAATTCAAGTCTATGACTTCTAGGCTAGTGCTTTTTCCATCATACCTCGCTGTCCTTCTGCAGGGAAAAGTGCCCCAAATTCTACCTGAGGGGTCCCAGCTCTGCTATCAGCAGCAGCCACTCTGGAACCAAACTGGGGATGAGTAGCTGAGAAGCTGCCCCATGCTCACCTGAACCCCTGCCCACCAGGCTGGGTGGGAAGAGCTGTCTAGCAAATTCCTTCCATCTCTACCACCTACCTTCTGTCTCTGGCATGCTCAATCTTAGGGTTACTCAGCTGGAGTCTCATGCAGGGGTGTCAAAATCTGAGTCTGCCTCCACCCCCTCGGTGGTTGCTGAGCACGGGGCCAGTGGGAACCTGTGAGTCACTTAAAGGAAGTGCTCAGCCCCAAACAGGAAGCAGCTCCTCAAGCAGAAACCCCCTTGTTGGAGGACTTCGCCAGGGCCTAGTGGGGGGTGCTTGGAGTAGGTGAGACTGATGAAGCTCATTGTGACACAGCAATACCTATTCAGATTTTACCCATCCAGTGTGCTATGAACACTCACCAGGGGCCTTTCTGCTGTGGGACCTTAGGTGCATCGTTGCCTCTCGCTGAGCCTCAAGTCCCTCAGCTGTAGGACCGTGGGGTTGCACCACACAACCACCATGGCCTGGTATTCTACACGGAAGTGAAGAATTGGGAGAAGTGGGCACAGGTTTCAATGCGTAGATGGATGAAAGGTTCCTAGGGTCAAAGCACCTAGCAGCACAAGCACCGCCAGTAAGTACTCTGTCTTCAGGTGCACGGTGGAGCTCTCATTGGCCAGAAGGCCTGTCCTTCAGTCACCCTCAGTCGCAGAGAAGAGCCACTGCACTGGGACATACTCACTAATAAATGCACTAGGGGGGACACACGGGCCCCTGTCACACGCCATCCAGGTAACCCACAATCCTAAACATCGATTCCCCTAATACCACTCAGGTCCCAGTGAAACTGTAACAGGGTGGTTCCCAGGAAAAGGGGAGGTTTCAGGTTCCCTGCCCCACCCAAGGAAGGGTAAAGCTGAGCTGGAGGAGAAGCTGGAGAGGAGACTGGGAAGGAAGCAGGAGGAAGAGCGAGGAGACCTGGAGGAGGCACAAGTTGCAGAGACACGTGAAGAAGCTGCGCCTGCTTATTCCTGGACTGGCTGAAACAGACGTGGGTGAGAGATGCAGAGGGAGGTTTTATCTTGGCAGCTTTTATCTTGGTTGTGCTCCTTCTGCCCCTTTATTATGCATCCCCATCAGAAGGTGCCTTAGACTTGTGGCAGGCTTTCGGGCCAACCTCGTTGGCATTTACCCACGAGGGGATGGGTAACTTTGGGTGCTTGGTTTGGAAACTCTATTCTTTGTCTTTTCTGTATTACAGTTCCTTTCCATTAAGGATCTTATGCACTGGAGTATGTTTTGTCTTGATGTGGTGGATGGCAGGACCTATTTAGAGTAGGCAGGTTTGGGGTTCTGGGGTGTCAAAACTTCTTCACTTACTGGGCTTGAAAAACAAGGGAGGGCTTCTTCCAGATGAAGGTCTGTGGGTTTCACTGTTCCAATGGGGTGAGGGACACCACTGGTGGTGGTGAAGGGAGGCAGGTGGCTAAGTGGCAAGGATGTTTGGGGGCACAGACAAATTCAACTTGTCAAATCCTTTTTCTGAGACTGCAACATGCAATAATAGCTTCTTGCATAACAAAATATTCGCTTCCCAGTAATGCTGAGCACCCTTTTTTTTTTTTTGGCTTTTCTCCCTGTTTCAATTTGTGGTTCTAAAAGTACTCATGAATTAGTGTGGTATTCACAGTAAATGCACATGGCAGCTGAGAAGCCATCTTACAATATTTAACAATTCATATTACTCAAATAAATGTAATAATGTAATAGGAAATGTGATACTAATTCTTTCTGTCGGTAACTTGATGGGCACAAAACACCAGAATTGTGAATTGTTTTCATTTTAATAAATTCTTCCAAAATCTGAATTACTGTTTCACCTCTACTTAAATAATTTTACTTTAAAATCTGAATGTGTTGATTATGGCAGCTATTGCTTTGTTTTGATTTTCATATATAACGTAACAATAAAAATAATTTTTGAAAACATAAAATAGGTAGGACTTTCTTTACAAATACTTTAATTTACATTTTTGATAGAAATACATTCAAGTTCCATACATCTTAAATACAACTGAATTCTATTTTTGATTCTTTAAATTATTACTATCAATAAGCAATTTTCAAATGATGTAATTCTTGATTATAACAATGTAATTCATGATTTTGTTAAAATGAAAATAATATATTTTATGAAATAAAAATGGATTGTCTTATTACTCATCTGAACATCACCAGCCCACCGACAAAGCACCCCGCTGTGTAATAATTAAATTCAGTCTTTCCTGATATTTTGTCACTTTCCATCATATAAAACCATAAATTGACATGAGTATTTTAACCTTTCATTAGGAAGATATATTTGTCAAGCTGGGAAAATCAAACTATTTTATATGACAGTTTCTTGGTCTGCTTTATAACCTTCATAAATCTGACAAAATGACACCGGCTTATATTTGTATTTTCCTCCTGCTATCCACTTCCCCGCCACCACTCTCACTTCCCTGGGGCTCAGGCCACCTGGGCGGGGAGCCTGAGCAACAACCGGGCTGCTGGCAGCCCTGCCTCCCCCAAAGCCAGGCTCTACACTCGCCAAGCTTAGATGCTGTGGGGCCTAGATCAGGTCTTATTTCCAGAGCTGCTTCAATGCAAATTCTCTCAATGGAGATGCCAGTGATTTGACTGGGCTTCCCCCAAGGCCCAGCACGCCTTAAAGTCCTTCAGGTCCCAGATCCAGCACCTGCTGTGAAAGCACCCCAGGCTGGTAGCCTCATCAGGCTGAGTGAATGGACCCAATCACCTCTGTCCCTCAAGGCTGTTTTCCTCCTCCTCAGCACCCCAACTCAGTCAACCTCTACCCCTGCCCACTTATTCTGTGCCTGCTGGTCACAGCAAACCCTTGGGGCTAAAGCCAGCAGAATGCAACTCCACCCCTTGACATCTGAGCTGCAAAATCTCTGTGTTCCTGCCCACCATCCTTCCAGCATCTTATACACAGAGCTTCCAGAAAGCAGAAGCCAAGTTCTAGAGGAGGAAGGGATGTTGAGAAGAGAGCTGAGAGTCTCTGTCTGCTCAACTTAGTCCTCTTAATCTCGCATCGCAGTACATTCTACAGATGGCAGAATGGAGACTCAAGGGGATTTAGGTCTTCTTGCTCAAGGACACAGCAGAGCAAGTGGCAGAGGCACGATTCATACTGTCTGACTCTTAAAGCCAGTCTAGACAACCATAAATCCAGTCACCAACACATTTCCTGTGTTTTCCTATGTTAGGAGAGGCCCTGAGGCTCCAGGGGACAGAGGAGGCACCTGCTGAAGGAGCACAGAGCACATGTAAACAGAGGTGGTGGCAGCAGGGGCGGGAGGGGTACAGAGAGCCTTGGCAATAGATCTGCACTGTCTCCCAGGATCACCCCCAGCCGAGCCCAGCTGGCTCAGACAGCAGCAAATACCCAGGAGGGAGCAAATTTGATTTCCCTGCACCCACTCCCCCAGTCACTCTGTGCCTGCTCCTGGACAGCACGACAGGGAGGGGCCCTGGACATTTCAGACCACTTCCTCTTCGGATGCCACCATACCACATCCACCCTCACGCCTGGGTGTGTCAGCTCCCCAGGCCTCAGGAAAGGGTGCCGCTTTGCAGTATATTAGACTTCAGTTCCTGTGAAAGCAGGGCATCGCCTCTCTAAGCACAGAACCCCTTATCCAATAAATGCCCAATAAGTGGTTGCCAGATGAGCTGATGACTACATAGCAGCAATTGACCCAGCTCAGCCCATCCTGACTGCTGGGCCCTTAGTTCAGGGCCCGAATCAGACTAGGGTGGGTCCAGTGCAGAAGGATAAAGGATAAGGCTCAGGTTACCAGCCTGGGGTGGGGCACAGGTCTCCTCTGCCCTTTTGCTGTGTGATCACTGGTAAATCACTTCCCCTCTCTGGCTACCAGTCAAACGGGTATTAACATCAAATGGAAATCACCTGATTTTAGTGAGCGCAATATCACACTTTGGTTGGAATCATGGGGCAGAGGCTCAGCAAGGAGAGGTGACTTGGCCAAGGTCACACAGCAGGTGAGAGTCTAGAATAGGATCCAGACTGTTGTGCCCTGCAGGGTTAGATTCCCAGGAGTCCGAATGAGGAGGCCAGCTAATGGTGACATTCCTTATGATAGCAAGAGCCCAAGAGAAGGTCCAGGCAGGTTCCATCAGGGCCAACCCAGCCTGACGTCACCAGTTAAAGTCATCACAGTCAGAGATCTGGAAGCACAGCTTCTGTTTTGTTTGTTCATTCCTGGGACACGCTGAACAACACGAGTTCCATAAGCGAGCCCTGAGTACCTTCTACAGAAAAAAAAACCAGTAGATACATGGGCGTAGGTTGGGCTGGGCAGAAAAGCCACATTCAGGTCAGTTGAAGATGGGCCCCAGGGCCTTGATTTCTGCAGTGGCGCTCAGCACCTCCATGGCCCTGACCTGCGTCATCCCGCATCCGGGCTGCGCTGGCAGCACTGGAAGTGGAGGAGGCACAGAAGCAGACTTTTTCAGAAGGGGCTGCTTCAGGGCATAGGACAGGCCCTAGTGGGGTCGCGGACACTGCCTCAGCCAAGTTGAAACCAAGTCACTGGGGAGAGCCCTAGGGGCTGGGACAAGATCTACCAGGCTGGGGCTCTGTGCTGCCTCTGGGGCTGAGAAATGATGAGCCAGCATCTGAGGCTGGAGGTCACAGGGCAGCTCTCAGAAGGTCCTGCTTCTTGCTGACCACACAAGCCGGGGCTATCTCTTCTGTACTCCCCCTTCCTAGAGTGGGGAAGAATTATTACTTATCGGCGCCAGGTTCTGCATAATCAGCACCGCGTATGCTTTTAGCATATAATACACACAGTAATCCTGTTACGCCCCACCATGTCCGCCGGGACCCCTTTACTGTTCTGCGGCAGGCTGGGGGCCCATGGGCCCTTCCAAAGGCCAACACCTGGGAAGTGGGTGGGTCGACTGCTTTCAGGATGCGGGGATCCCGTTGTCTTTGGCCTGGTCATCCTCCAGGGACCCTCTGACCAGCGACTGACTGGGTGGGAATCTAAGTTGCCCCTAGTGGCCAGCTCTGCCACCCTCGCTCCTCTGGGGACTGAGCCAAGTTCCCCTCAGAGGGGCCAGGCTTGAAATCACACTGCTTCTCTTTCTGCTTCTATTTGCCCTATTTCCTTAGCATTCTTTTTTCTGGAACACTTCCTAATAAATCACTCTCACAAACCTTGCCCTCGGGTCTGCTTCTGGATCACCCAACCTCAGAAAGCTATGAGTTGGGTACTGTTAATTTTCCCATTTCAGAGATGCAAAGACTGAGGCTCAGAGTTGTCAAAGATCCCCACGTGGGGAGGAAAGAGCACAGACTGAAGCTGAGGTCCACCCAATGCAAAGCCTGACCTCTGACCCCTCTGTCCACCACCAGCATCGCTGAGCCCGTTTGCACCCCGAACACTGTCCCTTCCTAGCCACCAGCACTACTTGGTTGCTTTCATTTTTTACTGGAGAACAGGAGAATCTGCTCCAAGGGGGATGACTAAGTCCTCAGATTCCTCTCGTTGGCTCGGATCCTGTTTTGGCCAATCCTTGTGAATCAGGGTGGGTCTGACATTCTGGGAATGCAGAGAGTCTTCAAACCAACTTCATGAAAACAAGTTGTAAAAACACTTAAAGCCGCTGGCTGATGGGCTTGGCTCTGTGGAGCAGGGTTGAACAAGTTCACCAGAAGGGAACACACAGCAGGATATACTTAGGCTAGACCCAAAGGAAGAACTTCCCGGTCACTGGGAGCTGGGCCTCAGGATGGGGTTGAAGCAGGGGATTCAAAAGCGTGACATGCCAGGATTTTCTTGTTTGAAGTGTCTATGAAGCCATTGAGGTGAGCACTGGAGACAAAACCACTTGAGTTCAACCCCACCCAGTCCTGAGCTTCAACCACTGACCTAGAA